TTAGCGGATATCTATCTAATCATATGAGAAAAAAAATCTGAAAACTTTAGAATAGACTCTATGGCGAGAATCACATATATGATAAATTTTCAGTAAGACCAAACTCAAAAACAGAATAACGTAACATACATTTGACATATAAAAATTAGTCGAGATACACATATATTAATTTTGCGAAAGCACATTGCTAACGAATGATTTTGTCCATATGTTAAGTTTGTTTTTTCGTTTGATAATTTTAGATTGTTATCAACGATTATTTGGTCCCAAAGGTGTTGGTTATGGTATTGGATCAGGAACATTATCAACATGAAATTAAGTTCAATTGTTAGTGTCTTTATATCATTCAATGCAACCAAGAAGGAACAAAGAAATAAACATTTTCTTTTATTATTTCTTTGATTTATGATTGTTGTTTTAGTTTTTTTCTTTTTCTTTTTTTTATTTCCATTAGATCTGATTCTTTCATTTGATTAGTCGAGGCATTTTGTTTTTGTTTATTTAGTTTATGTATTCTATTAAAGAAAAACATTTTTATAAGAACATCAAAGAGAAAAAACTATGCAAAATCTTTATCCATATTAAATTTAAAATCATAAATCACTTTTGCTGCTATACCAATAATACCAAGAAGAAGACAAAAAATAAGAAAACCAAACGGTCCACCACTAATATCATCGAAATTTTCTACTCGTGCTACAAGTCGACATGGTGCACCAGTACCATCTTCAATTTTCATTGGTAGAACATCAAATATAAAAAATGTTTCTCGTCGATTTGATAAATATTTAAGAACATGATTAAGTGCAGCAACATTTTCTAAAACATAAATATTTTTTTTAAATAAAATTCGATGAGCAGAGAAATGTTTTGAAGAACCAGGATCGACTAAAAATTTATTAAAAAAAAATAGTAAAATAAAAAAATTTTCCTTTATTAATAACTACTTGATAAAGTATCAATACCAACTCCAACAAGTTTTTCTGAATATTTATCAACTAAATATGAAGCTAATTGTGCACTAAGACCAGGAAAATCAAGTTCTTCTCTACTATGACCACCAGCATAGGCATCTTGATTTGGCCAAAATTTTGATTTTCCTGTATAAAATAATAAAACATAAAATCCATTTGCTTGTCGCATAACATTTTCATTAAGATCTTCAATTTTTATTTGATAATTTTTCACCTTTGAACTTTTTTTTGATACATCAACAATTAAGGCTTGAATAGAAACTAAACGTTCAAATGGAATTTGTGTAATTGTCCATGATGTATTCGATCCATGATAAGGTGCATCAATATGAGTACCAAAATGTTCACCTGTAATAAATGTATTCAATGCCATGAAGTAATATTCATTTGAATCATCTTGTCTCCAACGTGTAAAAGTTTGTGTGAAATTAAATGGTGTCAAACCAGGAAAAATTGGATTAGTTGATTTTATAGTATGAGTTAAATCGAAGTTAATTAAACTAAAAATTGATTTAATATTAACAAATACGAATAAAAGATGGAAGAGTTGCATTTAAGAAAGGAAGACTAGTTTGTTTTTTTCTTACTCCTCAACGAAACAGCCTTCACTTATATTTTATCTACACTATGTGAAATAAAAACTATGATTTCATTCTTTTCTTATCAATGTTAAGCTCGGTATATTGACGACAGTCATATATGAGTACAAAAATAATTTTTACTATGATCAAGTCAAATTTTACGATATTTTTTTTTTCTCTTATTCTTATCGAATTGCCTAGATTAACTTTTGCTTTGGTTATACGGTAATAAACCATAAACAAACTAGACGTTTCCAAATGTATCTTAATATTTTTTTCATATCTGATCATCGTGTAATAAAAACATATGCCCGATGGTTAATAGTCATCGCACGATTAAATTGTAAACATGTTCTATCCTATGCAAAGCCCATCGAGTTGGTCTCGAACCCGACCCGAAAACTTTGGATTGGACGGCTCTATCTTACACATTTCTCACACAACTGTCCTGAGAAATGTGTAGGGTGCACTAGTCATCGAGTACAATAAACAACAGGAAAAAAGCATCTTGTATCTTCGCAGTGGCTATCCTATTCTGATTAGAAAATTTCATTGAAAGTATCAAAGTACAGTTCGACCGGATATGGGTTTGGAAATTTTACACCCGACAGGCTTTAATCCCGTGTGATTTTTAACTAATGTCCGTTTCAAAATATAGTGCCCTTCACTGTTTTTTGAATAAATTAAGAATACAATGAGTTAGAGACCTGCGATTTTCACCAATCGACAGAGACCTTGAGGGAACACAAGTCTATGAACAAACCAAGAACTGGCCTTGTTTTGAAGGTACTACAGTTTCTAAATTTTTGAAAGAATCAGCTATAAAATTATAACATCTCAACAGATTTTTAATTGTTGTATGATGAATAGATAGGCTAAAGCTTCTGCTATCGATCTACACAAGCCCGACTTTAATAGTTATAGTGGTTCGAGAGATATCCTATTTTTATTGAAGTTCACTTGTCTCCTTATTTTCTAGTTTGAGTAATCAAAAAACAGTTGTCAATAGAGTTAAGCACCCACAATAGATGACATATTAATGGTCATTTTGTGTAGAAGACACTACTACACGGAAAGATTTACAGTGTTATGTGTGAAATTTTGATCCTTCGTCACTCCCCCTACACTTAAATTCACTCACGTTTGATTGAATCATTTAGAATGTATGGATGTTACGTCAGATATAAAAGTCTATCTCAATCGTCTACAAAAACAATTTAAGCAATGACTTCTACTTACGACGCTTTGGATTTCAGTTATGATTCAAGAAAAGAAACAGCGAAACACAAGAACAAAACTTTCATGCATCTGTCTCTTCCGAATCATCGAGCGATCCATCATCACTGCTATTATCATCGAAGATTTCATCATCATCATCGCTTTCATCTAGTATTGGATCAACCATTTCTTGAACATATTTATCTGCTTCTTTGAATCTATCTTCATATTTTTTAGCATGTTGAAAATAACTTGTTGACAATGGTTTATCGATGGCTGCCAAACATTCTATTGCCAAATTATGAACATCAACAAGTCGAAAATTTGTATTGTTATTACGTATATAATTCTTAAATCCAGCCCAAGCTAATTCAACCAGGTTCAATACACAATGTCTTACCGATAAACGTAAAATTTTCACATCAAATCGTTTAGCAGCTTCATCAACCTTCAAAAAGAAGCATATGAGACTTACTCACATTTTTCTAATTTTATTCACTTTATATCGTCGTGAAGGAGCACATTTAACAGCTATCTCAAGTAACTCGACTTTCGTTAACGATGATTCATGTTCTATATTATATTGGTCCAACCAGTTTTGGATCGCCACTTTTCTGAATGATTGCGTTGGCACTTTCGATCCATCCGTTTGTTGACTGTACCGCGTAGCATTGTCGATAATAAGGCATGTACGTCGTGCACTACCTAAGAAACAGCGAGTTAGAACATTATGAAATATGATTTTTAAACAATCCATCGAATACCGTATTGTTTTCTTCGTTTAGAACAAGTTTCGATTATGCAATTAATAAAATGAGATCCGTCCATCATATGTTCAGCGTCAAATGTGAATATATCTAATGAATCAAGATGAAATCCAATTTCATTGATGATTCCATTTATTGACGCGAAGCAATTTTACCATTAAAACTAAAGAGTTTAAGTTCAGTTAGATTAGGATAATCAGTAACAAGAAGAATACGTTCCATAGATACTGAATTAACAATAAGAGATTTAATATTGTGATGAATTCTTGACAAAATATTTATACAAAATCGATCAACTATTGTATCGCTAACCGAGGAAATATCATCAGTAAATGTTGTTAATACAGAATTGAGAGTATTTGTGAAAATATTTTCTTGAACTATAATGTCAAGTCGTTGATTATCAACATCCAATAATGAATAAAGAACATCCTTATTGTCAAGCTTTTTTAAAATGATAAGTAATATTTCATTAGGTAAATCAAGAAGATCAACGTTAGACTGATTCATATTGAGTTTGACTAATATTTTTCTTATTATGCATGTATATATATATACGCTCATTTTTAATGCCAACTGCTATGATTGAATAGAATGAATGAATGAATTCCCAAGCAGACAATAAAACAGCATATGATGGGTGAGACGAGCGCTCGAAAATATGAAATATATATTTTTTTTGTTCGTTCTGTTTTGATTTCAATCCTGTTAGCAGCCATCGGATTTCGAGCACTCAAACATTGTTCTATCAGAGACCTATGTTCAACTCCTCAAAGAGTTCTCGATCCGTCGATACTTATCGAAATTTCGAGTAGTCGAGCAAAACAAAGATATCGGAAGAACCCTATTGGGCACTCCAATAGAAACAAACCGAGCATAAAAGCAATTTCAAGTAGTTAAGTGAATTTTGAGTTTGTGAAATTTGTTTGAAAAGAGATTTGCAAATGTCTCGTTCATTAGGCTACCTTAGAAGAGTGATCTATGTTGCACAAATTTTATTCTTAATTTTATAAGCTTCTAGAAAGTAATTGACATGAAATGATGGAAAACCACAAGTAAGAACAAAATCTAAAGTGATGTTAAGAAAAACAAAATCTTAACGAATATTGTTATGAGTCTTTAAAAAAAATTTTAAATATTGATTTTATAATTTATCTCAGAACTCGATTATTTATCAAATGCCATATTTATCAATTAAATTCCTTATACGGCATCTGAAACTCGCGAAAAAGCCAATTTGCTAGTTAGGCAGGTGAAAAATGTATTTAAAAAAAATTTTTTTTTTACTAATTTTTCAAAGCTATTAGCAAATGTTAAAATTCAAAGTACTATTAGGAGAGTAAGAAAAGTATTGATATTAGGTAGGGCTAGTTTAATGATGGGACAACAAGGAAAATTTGATTATGATGGTAGGTGAATCAGATCTTCATATATATCATTTAAATTCTTTTTTATTTTAAAGAAACACAAGCAATCAGAGCACTCAGTGAAGAAAATACATATACTGCATTAATCAGTCCAACTACTTCTACAAATGAAACTTCGAAAGATTATCTCAATAAAGTATTGTTTCTTCCAATAGGTCTAAACCCTGTTGAAGGTATTATTTATGGTGTGGGTGTGTGGGTTGCGAGTGTGGATGTATGGGTGTGGGTGTTTATCTTTTTCTCACCCACACCCACACCCTTTTTTGACTTCATCTGAAAGAGATACAGGTCATAAGAGAAAATTTCTGGAATAAGGTTGAGCGTGTGAATATTTTTCTAAGCAGGCCACTGTCTCGCCAACACTCACAATCAATTTTAAACAATTTATGAAAACCAATTTTTGAAAGTGCGCCATGCGCTTTTGAATGTGTTTTTTACAGCATGATAGACTTGAGAAGCTTTCTCAACCAACCACGATTTGATGCGCTGAAACCTAGTTTTCACTTTAATAAATGTCTGATCGTAAACAACTTCTACTTTTTCAATGGCATTTGCGCTGTGATCAAGCAATATTTTATATCCTTGCTTTTTCAATTGATAGTGCTTGTCACCTGGTTGAGGATTTTTTGACTTCACGCACTTGATGACCACTGTCTTAAATTTCGTAGCTGTCGACTTCACGTCGTTAGATGCCGAAATAAAATCTCCGAGAACAGCTTGAAGTTCATCATCAGACTCGACATCCATGTTGGTGAAACGCTGCAATGTTCTCACTTCGTTACAAACAAATTTTTCTGCTTCGCTAATGAGGTCCTGATCATCTATAATTTCCTGTATAATGGCATTTTTCTCCTGTTCAGTCTGTCGTTGCTGTTGCAATTGTAGCCGTTGCTTTTGCTCTTGCTCTATGGCGCATTGTTGTCGTTCTTGCTCGATTCTTTTCTCTTCCATCTGTAATGCATTCTCCCTAGCACTATTAGACCATGTAGCTTGATACTGATGTTGCTGTATAGGTTGATGATGTGTGAAATTTGTTTGCTGAGAATTATAATATGGCTGAGAATAGTTATTTTGATAAAATGGCTGATAGAAACCGTTTTGACTATATGATGGCTGATAATATATAGTTCTATTGTATTGGTAAGGTGGATTGTTGTAATAGCCATTGGAATACTCGTATGGTATATAGTTGTACACCGGTGGTACCAAATATTGAGGAGGTGGATAACAGTTATAGTTGTAAGGAAACATGACTATCTACAACAATGAAAGTAAATTAGACAGCAAAAGAAAATCTAGAATTTGCGCAATCAGTTGTTCTGATTCAATCTAGGTAGATTATTAAATGTTATAGCATGAACATAAATATATATGAAAATAAAGGAATATTATTAGAAAGTAATTTTTGATTCAGTTTATTACAGTTAAAAGCAACAAATTGTCAAATGATTTGTAAAAAATATTTTCTCCTCGTTAGTTCTGCTCTTTCCTTTCCGATTTGCCATCAATCTCCTCGATCATTCGATCAAGTTTGTCAAACATTGGTGCCCAAGACGATTTAACGTAATCATCAACATATTTTGCAAAATTATCGCTGATTCTTGTGGGATCCTTGCCATCACAGATTCCTTCCCATAATTCTTCAATGAAGAGCCGAAAACTGTTGAGCACGTCAGTGGTTGTCTTCTTCATATGCTCCATCATCAAAGTAGCTCCTTTTACCATTTCTACGTACAATTTGTACTTTGTCTTATAATCAGGATCATTTATGTTGGGTCGAGCGGCCATGACCAGATCTCGAAAATCATCCACGTGAGCTATAATTGTCTGCTCGAAATCATCGCAGGCTTGCACGAAGTATTGGGCAGGATCATCGGTTTTTTCTTTCTTCTTCTTACGATCATTCAGTGTGAGAATGAGAGTTGGAAGTGCTTGACGGATTTCATGCGTAACTTTCGTCACGATTCTCTAAAAATAAGCTTCACCAATTCCAATCTTCTGAATATGATAAATAAAAAATTATTTTTTGATCAATTTTTATAATGTTTCTCTTTTTCTATTAAGGAAACCTTGAATGACTAGCAGGTGAAGTAAAAGTTAGTAGAATTATGGCAATTATCTGTGTAATTTTGGAAGCAAAAATCTTTTAAGGAGAATATTTTCTAGTTTCTCTCGTATACGGTGATGAATTCACATTCTCTACCTACCGTTGCTGTTCTACTGCTGCCGCTCCCACCATTCTCTTGATATTCAGCGTTCATTTGTTCACCACGGTCCTGATCATTTGCCGGTATCTTAGAAGACGTCTGATTTCGATCTTTATCGTTTTTTGACCCACCGGAAACTGACTGAGATTTATTGTTTTCAGGGCGAAACAATGATCGTCTCTTCGGACCTTCTCTGATTGGTTGAGACTAAAAGTTCATTACTAACCTTGTTTTTAAATACATAAATGATATCTCACTTACGTTCGTTACATTTTTACTCCGCTCAGCAATTTCACTTTGATAGTTCATTGTGATCGATCAATTCTAAAATGACTTAACATTTTAAAATTCAACAAAATATTGTACATCTATTTCCTTACTTGAGTAGAATAATAAGTTGCGTGTTTACACTAATAATGATCTGAAAAAATGATATTAAAGAAATTATATTTGAAAATCAAGAGTAAGTTTTCAAATGCAATGTTATTTCAATCGAACATCAATTAAATATATCAGATAATCCTCCAGATGGATCACCTGTGGTAATACGTAAGATGGGAAACACTACTTTTGTAAAAATTGTTCCGATAATCTTGACAATGTTCGGCAGATTATCACATATCCAACGTACGATTCTTTTAATAACGTCTTTGATCTTGGAGAAGAGGCTGCTGAAAGTGTTTTTTAATCCTTTCATTCCCTGCGTGGCATGCATTGTAAATTGTATGAATTCTGTCCTTTTCCTTTCATAGTCAGGATCATTCATTCGAGGTTACCGACTGAACACCAATTGTTTTATGTCGTCTACTTGATCATGAACAACGTGCTCAAGGATGTCCGATTTATGTACTAATGCGCGTTCATATTCGTCGACAGGTTCGCGGTGTGTCCGTTGTTTTGTGTAGTTTTCAATTCCACCAACACCTTCTTCGGCAGTGTTGCGAATAACATTAATACGAGAGTCGATCGCAGAGAACGAATAAGTCATAACAGAGTTCAAGAACAAACTGCTGTCTTCTAGTTTAGGAAAATTTTACTGTTCCTCGTAGAACACTGAAATCGTTTGGAAGTAAACTGGATTCCTTTAAAAGAATGGAACGATACTTTTTCCTACTCATAAAAAGTCTCCTTTTATAGTTGAGGACGCTGTTTTTTCAAGTAGTTTCGGCTTTCACCGAAGTAATCAATGACGCATATAGCATGATTGAGTAATATAATTGGATGAAAGCGTAGGTTGAAATAAGTACGTAATGAAAGAGTATAGAAGTTAAATTTAAATTAATTCGAATTAATTTAAAGTATAGTGAAGTTGTAATTGTGTTAGCTTTGATGCATAAATTGATATTGTAATATTTTTTTCCTATGTTCCGTTCTGTTCTATGCCTTGTTTTGTATACACATATATAGCTTAACTTTGTTTTTTTCTAATGATTTTCTGATGATGACGATTGTAAATTGCTGAAAGCTTGAAATAAAAAATAAAATGTTTTTTGTCGCAGTTCTATACTCTTGCATTACATAATGATTGACTGATTATTTATTCTTGGAACTGATCCTGAACAACAGCTCGGAATAGTAAAAACATTTTTCCAACAATTCATGCCGAGGCTAATCACGCTCGACCGTAAATGGCCGTATAGCAATTAGGCATGCACCGAACCCGGGTTCGATCATTCTTGGTACCAGTAATCCCGAGTTCAATCATTCACACAGCTGCACCAACAGTAATCAATAATAAAGAGTACAAATACATAATAAGTTTATGAAGAGTTTATATTAGAGAAGTCTCACCCTATTTAGTTCACAGTATGTGTAATTTTCTTAATGAAAAAACCCTAGGATAAAATCAAATAGGATTAATATTACAAAAAATTACTTCTAATTTTAATAGCCCGAGAAATCCTGATAATTTCCTACAACCTTATTCTATACTTTATGATAATTCGATTGTCGTACCTGGCGAGAGAATTCTTCCAACTGATAACATCCATTTAAGCTCTTATTTTGCTCATAGGTAGACCTTATAGTGTAGATAAATACCTTAGAGGAGTTCATGTCATTGCCGCTCTATTTCAAAGAAACAAAGGTAACAAGTTTCCATATAAATTGTATTATTATATGTTTCCTTCTAGCTACGTTCTTTTTATATCTCAATATTATACGAGTATTTCTCCGAGCTGATTTTTTTTTTCAAAACTCTTCGTATATATGCCTACAATCTGTAGAAATATTACTCATAGCAGAGCGGATATTCTATAAATAAAAATGAAAATCTTTTCTGATTCATTGTTTTATTACCACTAGTGCGATGAATTGAGAGAAAATATTCATTTATCTCGAATCAATGGAAATTAATTCACAATATATCAAGAAACATTTTTTGTCAAGGAGCCATATCGAAATTTTCTAGTTGAGATATTAAAAAAAGTTCATTTACTAAAAATATTTATTTTTTTGTTGGTTTTACATAGAATGTTCTTATTAGAAACATTTTCCGCTAGCTGTTCGAATTAAGAACAGTGCTCCTAACAAGGACAGACAAGTTATTTTTTGAATTTTAATATCTTTGTCAATGTAAATTGAAAAATTCTCAACCTTGAGATTAACATGCCTTGATTGATAAGAAACAAGTTTTGTCACGGGACCACAAAACAGTTTTCAAGTTTAGATAGTAAAAACATTCATTTAATAAAAATTTTTCGTTCACCCTATATTTTAAATAGCCTATTCTGATTAGGAACAGAGCTCCTAATAAGAACGAATTCAATCACTCGCAAACTACTGCTAATTACTCAGATAGTTTTCAAGATATTTGAATAATCTTTTTATCATTCGACTGAGCAGACTTTTCTCTTCTCAATAATATAAAAAATTTTTAATTTTATTTAAAATTGTTAAAAAAGAAAAGAAACATCGTTGAACCTCCGAAAAACCTGTTCTTATTAGGGACATGCTCTATACATAGTGACCATAATCTCAGGCATCGATAAAAAATGAAAATGAACTCTAGAAATTCTTCTTAAGCATGAATATTTAACGTCTGGAAAAAAACATTTTTTTTTGTATACAGACAACACTTGGTTAAGACTAATTCAATAACATCTGCGAAGCTTTGCTCAAAAAACTCATCTTTTCTGGATACAATGAAAGCCCAGAGCTTCTTATTCGTCTTTTATATCTATCCTCCTAGAGGACACTTCTATTTTTTGGAATCGTTTATTTCGAATTAGCTCGAAGTTTTTACATTCTGCTATCGTCATTAAATTATGATACATTGAGTCGATCGAAACATGTCGAAGACCACCGATTGAAAACTTGTGGTTGTTTATGTCTATTATATATAACTTCACAAGAACAAATCAAATTTTATCGGTATATTTTCGCCTTTTCATCAATCATCATAAAACTGAATTTTGAAAAAAAAATTATCATTTATTAGCTAAATCTCTGTAGCATTCTAGAAGTATGTATTTTCAGTTCAAAAATAAAACACATGTAACATTCGATGAAAGTGAATGTTTTAAGTGAAAAAAATTTGTTGATACAGAAGTTAATGGTTGATTAATTCATCTGTCAGTCAAAATTACAAATGTGTATGTTATCTACAATGGCATTGACATGTGAAAAATGCTCAACAAAAAATTTTACTTGTGAATAATAGTTCAAAGCTGTAAAGACTCAACTGATCATATTTATAAACCCGGCTCATCAAATCTAATATAATATAACTCTCATAAGAGAGACAATTATTAGACATTGCAAGGTCTTGTCTCATAATTACATAATATTTTTATGACTTGATAATATAATCAAGAAATAATATGATTAGTGACGGAACTGGAAAAAAATTCGTACGAAGACTCTCGCTCCAATATGAAGCTGAAAAGTAGATATTTTTTTTCGCCTGTAATATAAGATTGTCTCATTTCTAGAAGAGACTAAGTGTCGTTCTCGTCTTCATTTCCAGTCAGATATCTGTCTTCAGTGTAGTTCTTTCCCTTTGATGATAAACTGTTTAATGTAATTAATAGAAAATTTTCGAAAAAAATCCTGAAGACTGCTGAATTTAATTAAATATATTTTGTCATTATACTAGTCGCATAAAATTGTCAAAGATTCCAGTAACTATTGAAATATTTCCTTGATAAAGCTGTTGATAATATTTTTTAATTTTCTTTTGTATTTCAATAATATTAAATCAGTTTGTACACTTTAAAAAATCTTTAATATATGAATTATTTTGTTTTGTCGAGTATTCGTTTATAATTCGATTTTTATATTAACGCATATAGATATTGAATCTTTCAATAATTAAAATAAAATGAGTAATATTTACATACGTGAATAACTATGATATCTATTTAACTAACGTTGACTAAGCTTATTCTTATATTTAAGTATGTTAAAAAGAGTAAAGCAAATGAGAAATACGATTTCATTGACATAAATGTCATCAATGCTTGTAGACATACTAGCTTATCCTTCATTTCTTAATCACTACGTCTATCACAAACATGACACTGACTATTGTATTAATAACATCAAGCAAATAAACTATATTGTCAATGATGACAATTCGTTTCATTGAGAAACATTTATGATAAACAAGTCAACATGGAGAATAATTCAAATGATGAACAATTGAATATACTTTTCATGTCAAGTATCACTTAAATATGTTAATAATTCTCAAAAAAACCTACATGAATATAATACTCATTAACATTTTTTACACGTTAAAATACACATCAAACATTACTTGTACTTTTGCATCTGACAGTTTTTAATGAAACGAATCAAATTTATTATAACTCATACTAAATAATTCTATTTTCTATCGATCTATCCTATGACAGTGCAACAAAAAAGAACGAATATTACAATCAAATTATATTCACAATTTATTAGTTCAATAATATATTTCTACAATATTCATGCATTATTAAGTTTAGTCGTTGTATAAAAAAAATCATCTTTTATTTTCTTTTTCGCTATTTGAATAACTACACCAAAGATATATATATATATATATAGAATAAGAATCAGATCTAATTTGAAACAACAATCAATAGATAAAGGGAAAAAAAAGAATCAATAAAAGCGGTGAGGATATTGCTTTTCAGTTTATTTATGAGCAGCACCGGTGAAATGAGAGTTAACAAATAATTTTAATTTCCTGTTGATAATGTTCCTGATCCAATACCATAACCAATACCTTTTGGACCAAACAATCGTTGATAACAATCTATAAAAAAAATTATGCAAAAGAAAAACAACAAACAAACATATATCTTACTATTATCATAAAGTTCTCCTTCATGTTCTGAATATCGACCAGCATTGATACTATTTTTACAATGTCCACATGTATAACATCGTTTATGATATGACTATAAAAAACAAAAACAAAGCATTGATAAATTAAAATACATTAAATTTTTTCTTTTTACTTTTCCAGCAGCTTTAACTTCTTCAGCTGAATAAACACATTTTGAACAACGTGGACAAATATTTCCTGATATTGATTTTAAACGAAATGATGAACCATTTGTTGAATTCATTGATGAAGGACGTGGAAGAGTTGATATTGTTTGTCTTGTTGTAACACCACCAATATATGTAACACTGTTCATAAGTGAATTACTATGACGTGAATCATCATCAGATGATGTACGAGATGGTGATGAACCTGTTGATGTTTTTCGTTCATGACGAAGACTATCAATATTATCAGTTATTTCACTATGACAATTAGATCTTGTTCCATTTGAACTTGGACTACTTGGTGGTGTTTCTAAATTAATTGATGATGTTGTTCCAAAACCACGACCAACTATAAAAATTGAAATATTTTATAATCTAAATAAATACATTATTAAATACAAACCTCCTCGTGGACCAAATTGACGACGATAACAACTGATACAATAACTTTTTTTATCATGTTCATTTACATTACCTGAATTGAGTAATGTATTACATGAAACTAGAAAAAAGCAACAATAAAAATGATAAAAATAAAAAATATATGATAAAGACTTACTGCATTTGAGACAAAATCTATGATATTTTTGTCCAGCACCAATAACTTCTTCAGCTGGAAAAACAGCTTTATTACAAAGTGCACATAATGGTGCTGAAACTGTTGAACGCCATTGCATTGGTTTATATCCACTTTTAAGATCCCATTCAAATGATTTAAAACCACCTTTATTCGATCCCATAATCTATAATATGAAATAAAATATTGTTCTGTTGTAGGGAAAAAATAATTCTTATGTATTGACCACTCACATTATGTTAGAGAGAAAACAATAGAAAAGAAATACGTTGTTCTGAACTTGATGGACTGACCGTTGTGACTACTTCAGTCAGCGCGAAAAAAATGTGAATGCGAGTTTATCGTAAGAGAGAGTATTCTCGTTTTTTTCTTTCTTCCATTCTCATTCAATGTCATCGCTGTGTCTCTCTCTCTCTCTCTTTCCCTCTTCGTTTCTGGACGAACATATAGACAGAAAAAGAGAAAGAAGAGAAATCAATGAATGGGATGGAAAGTATAGAAGAAAAGAACTAAACAAAAAAAGCATTGACTTGTCATTATCTAACCATGACAAATAAATTGACAATAAACAAAAAAAAAAAAAAATTACAAAGATAGGAAATTTTTTAGGAGAAAACAGGAGAATAAATTCTCGATTTACTTTAATAAAACCATTAAAACACAAATCATAGAAACAAAATATATGACATATGTCTTATTAAATATTATAAAATCATCTTACTTATTTTTAGAAACAAAGAATGAAAAGATTTATAAAACTGATGATAATCTATAATTCATCAACATTTTTTTTTTGGTATGTAAATGAAACAAGAATACGAGTTAAGTCGTTTCGATATTTGTATGCAACTGACACTTTCTATGTAAAATCATTATCACGTCGTTATATGTTATATTCATAACAAATATGGTTTAATGAACATAAAATGTTTTTTTTTGTACATCACATTCATCTGTCCATTCGTTTGATCTTCGACTCGACACATTTTGCAAGTTCGATTCATCACCATCATCATATAGAGGAGACATCCTAAACAGAAAAACAGCTCATAACAAACAGACATTTTCATCGAGAAGAAAGGATTATATATTTCGTCACTCTTTTTTCTTCGCTTTGTGTCTTTCTCTTCAACATATAATAGACGATGAAGAGAGTCGAAGTCATAAGGTAGCCACAAAAATGACAACCAACTGAACAATGTACACTTACTTATCTAGTCTTAATCCGGTAGAGATGAGTGATCATCTACTTAAGAAGCGAAAGCTTTTTAGCATGTAAATAAAAAATCTCATATTACTTTTTTTTTTTTGTCAGTATTCATCAATACGATACACAAAAAAGAAAACTTAATGTACTTTCGTTCTGTTTTTCATTCCTATGATTTATTAGTAAAGCAAGAAAAAGTAGAAACAATCATTCTGTCAAAAAAAGAAAAATTTCATTCTTGTCTATAGAACAACAACTAATTCGTATGTTTCTTCATATCAACAATAGATCAATTTCAATAGTTCAATTTTCTCCATCGAAGTTACATTCTATTGTTATTCGAATAGAGATAACAAGATAAACGATATTGAGTTATACAACATATAAGCATACAATCACAGGCCAACATCTGCAAGCAATGTTTCGATTCACGTCTATAATCATATCATTATTCAAAGGTTTATACTTTAGCTGATGACCCGTTACATCGACAATATCATTTGATGCCTCGTCAAAAATTGATTCCATGATTCATATGGACCTGCATATTATAATAGTTACTATTATTTGTTCTAACAATATTGTCCAAATGGTGTTCCATTTGGTCAGAAGTACGATGTGAGACAAAGCGAATCTAACCATAACTAATTACTTTTTTCTTTTTTTTACTACAAGGGCCATTGTTATATGATAAAGATAGGGTTCATCGAACACATTTACCAATACATCTCTTGCACCTGATCAAACATACGATATCAATGGAATATAGGTTAGAAGTACATAGACAAGTATTCTCTTATTCAAGATCGAAATAGACATGGCAATGTCAAGATCTATTTAATCTAGTAAATCATATTGTTTTCAAGACATCTTTACGTGATCATGATATTTGAACAATAGGTTATATTGATCCAATAAAATTGACTTTTATATCGATCAGTTATAATCTTGCGTAGTTTATCCAATTAACTATCAACAGATTATGATAGATTGGACATCAGAAGATAATAATAAGATGATCAATATGATTGGCAAGAGTTTATTAACACTTCTAAAATTGAAATAGTTTTTCGATAGTCTTTTATCGAATTTAGATTTCAGATTAATTGTTCGTTCTACACAACTGACTGTACTCAACGAAACAAGTATTGGTATTTTCAGTATGGATGAATACAAGTTTTATGATTAATTGAGACAAATATTAGTCGATTGTGAATTAACTTATGATCATGATAATAAACATTAAGAATGAACATATGGTACGGATTGTGAGAAATTAATAATGATTGCTTTGTTAAATCAGTTACAACACTGAAAAAACCTAAATTAATTATATGCATCAGATGGAATAAAATGCGAAAATAAACAATAGATTGTTTAGATTTCTATCAATTGAACTTTATCATAAAAGAATTCAAAAGTTGCGTAGTCCTATCAATTCATTCTATGATTTGTTTGAAAACAACAATATTAAATAGCTAATTGAATTTCGAAATATTTATTAACCACTCAGTTATTGAAATATTTGAAGCACAAGATGAAGATAATACAACCACAGAATGTGGTTCTTCAGAAGAAGAAAATGGAAATAATTTCACTTTTTAGGCACTTCATGTCTCGAGTAATGATGAAAGTGTTGCCATTAAGATATTAGATTCTTCGGCTTTGAATATAATCTGAATATTAGAATAGAATAACATTCAATAATACATTTATTCTCAAGACTAGATATAATACATTCGAATTTTCTTTTTGCTATTAAATTTATTCTTTGATGATTTTATTAATACTGAATAATACTCAATAAATAAGAGAAAACAAACGGAGAAAACTGATTTCTGTTAATTTTCGTTAAGTTGATGTGATACAATATTTTTTGTATTGATAAGAATTATTTGCGTATTCTCGTTTTCTAATTGTTAAGCAGTATACATCAACCTTTTAAATTGGAAACAAAAAGAAAAGAAAAGAAAAGATTCATTTCTTACAAGCAAAAATCCATCAAGTCACAACGAACGATAATACATTTTTAATAATTATCTATTCTCATTTCTAATTCTTCTACATTAATTTTTTTCGATTCTAAAATTTAAATATAAAAAGATCTCTACTGAGACTTGTGATGAGTAATAATTATTTGATAAGCAGAATTTTTCAACAAAAGTGATTTATTTAAAGATTCTCTTGAGAAAAATAGTGAGAACACTAATTTGATTAAATATCAATCCTCACATCATCATCTAGGATCTACATGGATTACAGACTATCTCATATAAATACTATGTGTATAGAATATGAAATTGCATTTCATCTTTTTAGATGTCTTAATGAAGATTAGTAAAATGTATTGTTAATTTCATTCGATTATATTCAGCGATGAGAGTAGATCAAGATAAAGTATGTGTAAACGGTAAGTTTGAAATCCATATTTTTGAAATAGGAATTAATAAGAGAATGAAAAAGATAGGTGGGTGAATTATTAGTGTTTACGATTCTTTTATAATCACTACTGTACTATATTGATGTTTGACGAAGAAGAAGTTCATAAGTATCTGATATGAAAACTGACTACTATCGTATAGATAGTAATATATAGATTGAAAAATTAGTTCAATAAATCAAACAATGAAAAAATATTCAAATTTAATTAATTATTAATAAGTTATGAATACTCTGAAAAAAGTTCGGATTGATAGCTTATTGCGGTCGAGATATTGTATTTTTTTAGCACGATATCGTGGTCTCTCTCAGGAAAACTGAGTTTCGAATTTCAACTTGAAACTTTGCATAGAAACAGACCTTAATGAGAATACTTTATAGTAAAAGTTTTAGATCTTTTGATTGTTTCTTTCCTAAGACACGGCTATGACAAAAAAACATGTTGTTCACACCACTCATATACTCTGATGTTCTTATTTCAGAATAGACACATTCAAAAAATCTAAAACTTTCACAATAACCTTATTCTCATTAAGATTTGTCTTTGTGCAAAGTTTCAAGTCAAAATTTGAAACTCAGTTTCCTAAGGAAGACGACGGCGTCCCACTAAAAAAAGTACAGTATCTCGATTGTAATAAGATATTATTCGGAAGTCTTTTCAAGGTATTCATAGGTGATTAGAATCTACATGATGCACATAGTTCTAAGTCAAAAGTGATTTGACGCTTAGAAACGTTTACTCGAGTTATGCCTGGGGCTTCATCACTAAGTTTTAGTCATATTAGATAATATCAAATAAGCCTTTCATAGTCACTACAATCTGTCCTGAGCGACATCTACGATCAACAAAGTACATTTGTGTTGTTTCTCTCTGTTCGTCTGTCAATGACATGACAAGTCGAAACGTCTTAGTCTTCGTTTTCTTCCTTCAAAAACTAGATAAAAAACATTAATATTTAGATACTATGTCTGATTATCTTCTACTTAATTTCATTCATCGTTTTTCTCTTCTTCAACAATATTTTATTATTATATTAATATCTTTTATTTTACTCTTGATATTTAATCATTGGTGGTATATTTTATTATTACCTGTAAGTACTATTCTTGCTAATTTTACTATAAAACGTTTATGTCGTGATAATCAAATACCTTTAAAATTTTCTGGTCATATTTATAATCTTCTTATTCGAAAACGATCATATAAACAAGATGATAATATAGAAAAAACGATTCATACAATTAATTCATATGAAACAATAATACATAAAGAATATGATACATATATTCGAACAATAATTGCACGTTATATATGTGTTTGGTATTATCCATTAATATCAACAGATCAAGAATTTCCCGAAGATTTAATGATTATATTTAATATAATATTAAATCGTTTAAATGATCAATTTAAATTATTAAAATCTTATGATATAATTCGTCTTATAATTGATTTAAAACAAAAACATATGAAACAATATTTACATGCACATGATTCATATGAAAAACAACGTAAACCAAATCGAATAAGTAAATCAGTTGTTGAAGAATTTTCTCAAATCAATGGTTTTCATCGTTCAATAACTAATAATGATATTCATGCATATTTTAAAGCACTTGTTGAATTATTATTAACAAATTTAATGCCTGAATCATTTCAAATTTATTCTGGTAGTCGTACAGGACGAGAATTTCTTACACAAATTATTGTTAATTGTATTTTTTTACCATTATTTAATCAATTTTCTCAACCAAAAATGCTTTATTATTTAATTGTTCTTCTATGGGAAAGTGAAGAACAAAAAAATTCTTTTGAAATTAATAAAAATTCTTTAACAAAACAATCAGAAATAAATCTTAATGAAAATGAAAATCAATCTGTGACACTTATAGAAAATTTAATTGATCAAACAAATCATGATGGTGATGATGAACCTCGTTCAATACGTTTAGAACATATTATTTATTCAGCAACTATTATTTCATGGGATACAGCATATGGTCCTATGTTTGGTGGAGCCTATACAGCTTATATTATTCAAGTAATATTTGATAAAAGACAAAATAAATAAATCTAATTAAAGTTAAGTTTTTCTTTGCCATGATTTGTCTTTTTTTTGTGTAGTGTGAAACAAAATCTCCATTTACATTCGATGCTACTCATCGATATACAATTCCAAGACGTTTTCGTGAATTTATAAATTTACACAAAAGATTACACGCTAATCATATAACACGTCGACATTGTTATGGTTAGAATAGAATTTTATTATATCAATGAAAAATTTTAATAAATATTTTAGATCTTAATGAAGTTTTTCGAAAACTTCCTATGCCCATTGATAATATGAATCCAGATGTTATTAGTCGACGAAGATGTATACTTGAACAATATATTCAAGTATAGATGATTTGTTTTAATTGAAAAAGAAAAAATAATATTAATATAGGGTTTTTTTTTTTGTTTTTTAGAAACTTATTTCAAATGAAGTTCTTAATTGTTCACATGATGTACTCGAATTTTTTGCTTTTAATTCTGATCCTAATATACCATTTGAAGTATCACCAAGTAAATTTTCAGTTCCACGCGTTGATAAAGTAAATCTCACAAAAAAAAAATAATTCAATTTATTTGTAATCAAATTTTTTTTTTTTATGAACTTAAAGGTTTTATTTCGTACGTTGTCTGATATGGGAAATAAATTAAATAAATTACGTCCAACTAAACGTGAAGCAACTCCATTACATGAAACATTTCAAATAAATGTCTCAACAACATATGAAAACGTATGTTAACTAATTAAATTCATATGTAGAACATAATGAATAGCAGATCTCGAAATCACATCGCTTTTTGATGGATCTGCTCGTATCGGACTAAGAATTGCTCATGCCTGGTGGTTCAGACTTCTACTCTATTAGAGGTCGGCCTAATTTAGATTGACACTATTAAAAATATATTTCTGTTACAAAAAGAGTGGACAATTTTAATATTTAAAAAAAAAACAGCATGAGAAATAAGTTGAGCTACCTAGCGGATCCGAACAATAAGAAGCGCTGGTAAAATACTCTAACTTCTTGAAGACTATCATTTATTGACGTAAAATGCTCACTGATCAATTTCAACGGGTCAATTCGGTTACTATTTTTTGTTACACCATTCCACTTGAATAACATCATGCCATTTAATGCAGTTAATAGTGTACTCAGTCTGATGTGTAGATGAGGAATGTCATTGAATCAAACAAATGCTCTGCTTTTACTAATTGGCTAAATGAAACTTTCAAAATATTCGTATAATGAAGATCCTTGATTATTATTATCAGTTGTAAGATGCAAAATCTATTGGGAAGAAATTTTGACGAAAAATCAGAATAAAATCGATTAAAATGGTGCTATTTAATTCTGATTTTTCAATTTTAACAATAGATTTCAATTGATTTTAATCTTTTTTGATTGATTAATATAGTTTTATCTATTGAAATTGTTTTTTTAAAATCGAAGTTTCTGTTTTCCTACATGAGAAACTGTTTGATCATATTCGAATTAACATTTCATAGAACAAGTTTGACTTCCGAAGGAACGTTTTCGACTGCTAGTGAATCGTAAGTTATCGACCATGAGAAATCTCCTTAGAACTCTATAATCTGGATAGAGAAAAAACAATTTTTCGCGAAGAGTTTGTTTGTCTAAAAAAAAAACGGATTTCTAGAAAACTAGCATATGAAAATCTAAGAAAATTTTTCATGGTCATACTCAGAATGAGTATGGTCGATAATTTACAATCTACTATCTTTCGTTAGAAAACAAAAACGTTTCTTTGATTGACTTGCATTAAGTTTTACAATGCATTCAAAGATACTAGCGAATGTCAATACAAAAATGTTATTTCTTAAATGTTTTCAAGGTTGAAAGTTATACGTTACAAATGTCCTAATAAACCATCGAGTGTGATTGAGATAGGCACGAGCGTTGATTTTCGAGGCTATCACAAGTCAGATAGACCCCCCCCCCCCTGTAGGTCATATTTTTTTCGAAGTTTTAATAAAAAAAACTTCATTCTTTTTAGCAGCAAATATTGAAATCAAAATATAGAATCGAGTATCTGTGTCGATGAGAGATTAAAGGTATTTTTTCTTTTTATTATTTTGACAGGAGACAACTGTAACGAAGAGTATTAGACCGTGACGACACTGTTCGTTATCCATTTATTTATCAGTTTTGTTCAGTTACTGCTCATTCTTTCCTATTAGTTATCATTATTATTTTATATAAATTGTTGTGATATATCAGAACTTAATATATTTTCTTCATCAAATTTATTTAAGAGCAAGTTTTTTTCTCAATGTTAATATTTGTACTTTTGGGTCTCATTTAGGGTCATACTTAAGATTTGTAAGGTAAGATTTTTTTCGTATCTTGTGTCTTGACTAAGAAAAATTTTCAAACATTTACTCTATCCTTTCTTGCAAGTTAAGGTAGCCTTGCATATCTTTAACCGATTCATATTGTATCAAATCAATAAATCTTTCCTATCGCTATGTTATTTCGTTATACATGGACTGTCCTTGCTTTGTTATCAAGAGAATCTTATGCTTTCATTTACTTATCATTATAATATTAGTATGTAAAAATAAAACATAGATTATGATGGGAAGATTAACGAGAATCGTAGCTTTCGTTCGTAGACCTGTTTGAACTTCTTATAGACAATGATTTGTTTATAGACATCATCAACAATGGAACGATTAAAATTTTATATTCAACAATCATCATTTCGATGTTCGTCATCTTCAGTAAAATTAAATTCAATTGATTCAGAATTTTTACAATTATTATTAACACGTCCATCAATTACAACATCAAGTCGAAATAAAATAATTCGTGAGATTGGAGAAAAAAAAATTATTATTATTATTGAAATTAATTCTTGTATTTTGTTTAGATTCAGATATACCTTTAACGGATGCAGTACTTAATTTAATTCATACATGTTTACATTCTCGTGATGTAATCATTAGTTATCAATCAGTTCATCAAATTCTTCGTACAGTTTTGGGTCATTTTATTGAAGAGTTTGTTTATTTATTTTGTCTCGTTTTTTGTTTACATATAAAAATAAAAATTATTTTTTGTTTTTGTTTAGATTTTTAAAAAATCAAATTGATGATTTATTTTCATATGAAAAAATTCTTATGTATTTAATTGATTTACGTACAAAAGTACTTTGGCCTGATGATAATAATATTGTTATACCAATGGAAAATGTTCAAGATCGTGCATATAATGCATGTATGAATCAAATTCCAAGTATGATCTTGTTTTATTTTTCTTAATATGTAATTTTCTTATTTTGAAAAATGAAAAGATTGGCTTCAACATATTGTTGGTATAGAAAATGTTCGTCGTATTATTATGAATGTTCTTGAATGTTTAAGCGATGAACAACTTAATAAGTTTGTATTTTTTTTTTTTATATAAAATAATTATAACAAAAAAAAATAATCTTTTTTGTTTTGTTTTCTGTATTATTTAGACATTTTATTTGTAATTTATTTGATTTATTTATTGAACAATTAATACCAAATATAGCAACAAAAGATTATCTAACTAAATATGTTCAGATGCATGCTGGTCATCGATCATAATATGTAAATCGATATTATTATTATTACTATTATTTTCATTAGTCGATAAATGTGATTTTTCTTTTGTCTTTTCTTTCCCAATTTAATATATGATTTTTGATTTCTGTATTCATTTAATATATTTGTATGATTGTATTTTCTTTTGTCTCCATATCTGTACAGTCAAATAGATTTGTTTTTTGATATAAGAAAAAAATAAAAGAGAAAACAAAAGAATCACAATGAATGACAATATATATGCAATAATAAACAGATGAAGATAAAAAAGCATATGTGGCTGGTCTTTTTTTTTTTGCTATTTGTATATCATACATAAACCTTTTCGTACGTAATACCGTTGTCCTATCGTTGTATATAAAAGGCTCGGTTACTCCAACACAAGGTGATTCTATGTGTATATTTTGTTTGGATACAATCGGGTGAGTGATAACGTATTGTTATCGACTAAAGAAAAAAACGGATTGCGTATAGAAATCTATTGATATTAACACATTTATACATATTTTTTTTTTTCGTATACATCATTTATTACTTTCTTAGCACATCTATTTCTTTTTTGATATATATAATAATTGATAGACTTTCGCATTCATTTTTACAAAACAAAAAAACATCATTGATCTTAGTTTCAGTATATAGCACGATATTTTAATTTTTTCAATGGCTTATCATATTTATGGTAGTAATAATAATAATAGTGGTAATCGTCAATCATCGTCAGTAATTATGCCAACAAGCGATCATATTACACAGGATAATTATGATTATGATTATGATTATGAATTGAAAAAATTAATGGATCGTGAACATCAATTAATGATAACACAGGTCTGTATTTTCCTATTGATATTTTATATGATACATACTTTTTTTTTTCTATTTCTAGCAGCAATTACCAATAGATAATAATGTAATTGGACGACAAAACACTTCGTATATACCATTGGATGATGGCATATATAGATATGTACAACAACATCAAACTAATTCTCCAATTGATCAACTATTATTACCACCAACATCAACAACTACAATGGAGAGTTCATGGCCAGCGAAACCACTTCGTATTATTATTATTCGTCATGCTGAACGAGCTGATGCTGTTTTAGGTTCAGATTGGTCAAGAAAATGTTTTGATCGAAATGGTCGTTATATACGCTGTACTGAACATTTGCCAGATGCGTATGTTGTTTAAACAAAAACAAAACAACAAATGTTTTTTTTTGCTTTAACACAATAATATATTTATTCTAGATTGCCACATCGTTCTTATTTACATCATTATGTTATTGATGTACCTTTAACAAATCGTGGGCGTATGCATTCATTTAAAACAGGTAGAGCATTATTACTTAATGGATATGGAACTGATTTCTGTTATACAAGTCCATCGTTACGATGTGTACAAAGTGCTAATGGAATTTTAACTGGTATGGGTAGAAGGGATATACCCATGCGAGTGGTAAGTTACGTCCTTTTTTTAAAAATTATATATACAATTCTATTTATTAAATAGGAACCAGGTTTATTTGAATGTTATTTAAATGATTTTAAACGTACATTATGTTTTATGACAAAAGATGAATTAGTAGCTAATGGATATAATATTGATCAATCTTATCAACCATTAATACCATTTATGCGACCGCATGATAGTCAAACGGATTATTATGAACGAAGTCGAATACTTATAGATAATATTATCGAACGACATCAAGCTACAGGTGGAACTATTTTAATAGTAGCACGTAAGTTCTATTTAAAATTTCTAAAATATTAAAATATAATTTTTGATTTATTTAGATGCACCAAGTCTTGAAGGATTAACACGTCATTTATCTGGTGGAAAATTTCAACCAGGTTTATTGATTTTTATTTTTATTTTATATTTAAAATTTATAATAAAAATCTTTTCTAGAAAAATTATTTGATCTTGCTCGTCGAGTACCATTTCTTGCAATGACTATAATTGAAAAGAATGGTATTAATAATCCATGGCTTTTTCGTACACGACCACTTCAAACAAATCAAACACAAACAATACATGAATTACCATTTGAATCACTTTCATCATCGACACGTCTTGATATGGTAGATACTAATCATTTGATGACTCAACAAGGACAACAACAACAACAACAACAATCAACTCAAATTCCAACGATTGCTAAATATGCAAAACCAAATCATCCATTAATTGAAAAGCTACAATCAGAATCACCAACTAGTCTTATTCCAATTGATTTTAAAAAAGTTGTTAAAAGTTCAACAGCACCAAATTTACGCATGAGCAGTTCACTTAGTGAAATGTTTCATGTTATTTGATTTAATTATAAAATTGATTGGCAATCTTCATTTTTTTTATGAGTTTTTTTTATTATATTTTGATATTTAAACAAAAAAGTTAAATAAAATAAAATTTAACAGGTTTGACTATGAAGTGCGGGAACTGTTCGAAAATAAAATAATTTTTCTTTCAATACATATATATATAATCATGAGTTGGAGAATTCGAATGAATATCGATTCATCTATAGAATTAAAACCATATGAAATATTATCAATACCATTGAATCGTCAATTAAATAATTCATGGAATCGATCAAAAATTCAATTTTATCTAACGAATTCAATTTCAAATAGACAAAATTTGAAATCACTAATGCAAACTCATTATCATATAAATATTAAACGTTGTCTATCAAAAGAGACAGAATCAATAATAACAATTGAAAAAAAACAAAAAATTTCAATTGAATCTTCAAATTTTATTCTTGTTTGTGGTCAAAATATTTGTGGACAACTTGGTTTATCAACAACAATTATTGAACGACGTAAACCACAATATTTAAAAATTGTCAATAAACTAAATCAAGATGAAAATATTCAATATATATGTGCAGGTGGTATGCATTCATGTGCATTAACTATAACAGGTTATGTTTATACATGGGGTTGTAATGATGATGGAGCTTTAGGTCGAATAACAGATGATATTAATGATGAATATATTCCTGATTTATTTGTATTACCTGAAGAAATTCAAAGTCTTTGTGCAGGTGATACATTTACTGTTGCTTTAGCTAAATCTGGTCGAGCTTATATTAGTGGTTGTTTTCGATGTAGTGAAGGTTTACTTGGTTTATTTGAATATAAACAAATAACACAACAATCAATTGTTATTCCATTGAATCAATCAATTAAACAGATTGCATGTGGTGCTGATTTTTGTCTTTTACTAACAGAAAATGGTAGTATTTTTTCTTTGAAGAAAATTTTTGAAAAAATCATCTTTATTAATAATATTCATTTTTATAAAGATATTTAACTGATGATCGGGAAAGGTTTTAGACAAAATGTTTGTTCATTTTTGGCTTACTAGAAACTGTCAAAAGCTATGAATTAGGATTAGAATTTCGTATTCTTTTAGAATATGAACATACAAGGGAATCTTTTAAGCTGCTTGTTTCCGATTTCAATGATTTTTTTTTTATTGTCTATAGATACCAAATAGTGTTCTAATGACAACCCTAAAAGGATTTGGGTTTCTGTTCAGATTTGAATAAGCTATCGAATTTTGATCTGAAACTTTATGCATATAGAGAACTCAACTAGACTAGTTTCCATAAAAAAATACAAAAGTTTTGAACAAAATCTTTTTGAAAGATGACACTTTAAAGATATAAACCTTTTTCTAGTGATAGCGTATACAACATGCATTTTTCGAAAGCTACATATCTCGAAGAGATTTTGTTCAAAATTTATGAATTTGCCTAATATGCCAATTATGTGGTCTGATCGACTGAATGTTCATCGTTTTGTGTAGGGCTATTTGATCGATCTAGAAAAATTAATGTCAAAAGAATATATGTGTTTTTGACACAACTTGTTATCTCATGAGTTGTGGTTTATAATATGTATATTAATATTGTTCTTGATTGCTCTTCAGTAGCCCAACAATGGCTCCATGATTAATTATATATCTTAGTACATATAATTTGCCGAGTTATTGTGAAGCTTTCGAAACATATCTAATTCACTAGGAGACTTCTTCATCGATTTATAGTGGATGGAAATTCTGAAAGATCCCTATTGACTATAGGTGGAGAACAATGTGTTTCGACAAATTGGAATTTTTTTCATTTTTTCAAAATTATCGATTTTGTAGGCCCGATATTTCGAAGATGGAGCAATGAAAAAAAAGATTTTTTACCGATCGATAGCTCATGAAGTCCTCTACAAAAAATGTTCTTACCTAAAAATTTCTTTTCGAATGCGCTGAAAATTGTTGGAATCAGTCGCTTTTTAGAATAGACACTTCTCTCTACAATATGTGATATTGAACTGAGCTGTAGCTTTTACTCCAAGTGAGAAGGTTACAAGCATTTTTTTTTCAAGAGTTCCTGTCAACGTAGAATGGCAGTCGATTTTTCAAAAATGAATACTCAGGAACAATCATAATTGACATACCTTGTGGAAGTACAAAAAAAAAAAAACTTCAATTCTTGTATTTTGTAGGGTAGCTTCTGATGTACAAATATATATTCAACTTTTAGTTGTGAATTGCAATCGTGAAAATACAAAAATTTTCTATCCAAACTAATTTTTTGGGCTTTTCAACGATTACTTCATTACTCTCGAACAAAATCTCTAAGCTCGTATTCGAAAAAAGCACAAAATGTTGGTTCTAACTAATAGTTTTTGATACTTTCTAGCAGATTAAAAGTGAACAAACATTTTTGTCTAAAAACTTTTCAATCATTTTTCATTTTCTTTTTGATTAGGTGATCTCTATTCATTTGGAAATAATGAAACAGGTCAATTAGGTCGTGATAGTCATCTAGAACCTAAAGAAAATTCTTCAGTATGGTTACAACCTTCTCAAATTTCTTTTTTTCAAGGACAACATATATTAAATATTTGGGCTGGTGGACATGGATTTTTTGTTTTAACACAAAATTCAACAATTCATCTTTTTTCTTGTGGTTCAAATAGTTTTGGTCAATTAGGTCATTCATTAAAACAACCAATTTATTTACCAATTGAAATCAAAGAAATTTCATTTGTAGATAAAATTATAAAAATATCTTGTGGTCTTCAACATACACTTATACTTGATTCGAATGGATATGTTTATGGTCTTGGTAGAAGTGATGATGGTCGTTTAGGTAATAATCTTATTAATGATATAATTATACCTAAACAAATTGATAATCTAACAAATATAATTGATATTGCTGCTGGTGGTAGTGTATCATTTGTTATTAATAAATATGGACAAATCTATTCATTTGGTATGGGTGATACATGTCAAATAGGTCATGGAAATGAAGATATATTTATACCAACTTTAATCAAATGTAAACAATTAGAAAAACGAAAAATTCAACAAATATCAGTTGGTGCTCAACATACACTTTTTCTTGTTAAAGAAGATTTAAATTAATATGACAACTTCTCAGAAAAATTTTCTATTGATTGGTTATTTAAAAAGACATATCAAATGATGTTGATCCTCTGCTTCTATCATGATTGGTCTAATGATTTTCTATTTGTTGTATCTAAAACACAAAAAAAAAAAAAAGTAATACAGTTATAATTATCGGAACGTCACGGTTGGATAATTTTTTTTTGGTTCACTAATTATATCGAGTATGTTCTTTTATAATTCTTAAAAAAAAGAATAAATGCTTTCCGTTTCTTTTCTTTTTCTTTTACAAACGGCCGGATTGTGTCGATTTCACAAGAAACAAAAAAAAAAGAGACACGTCAACCACATTTTTTTTAAAGGACTTATATGCGATAGTACGTTTACTTAGTTTTTTATGTCGATTTTTTTTTCTCTCCCTTTCTTTATTTGCTGCATTTGTCGTCTGTGCGACGACAACTAGAAGAATAAAAACCACATGTAGTACGTGCGTAGGATTATCATTTTCTTTTTCTTCAAATATGTATAGAAAATGAGACGATTTTTAGTTAAATATTTTAATTGTAATGAAATTCTTATATAATGAAATTTTCAGATAAAAATTATAATACATATCGTTGATATGACGATGAATTTCTTTCTGTTTATTCTGTTCTTATCATCGATAAATGCTTTTTATTTACCTGGTTTAGCACCGAATACATTCTGTCGAATGCAAACATCTGATTCAAAATGCAAAGTTAGAAACAAAAACAATTGTTTGTTTTTGCTTTGAAAATTTTTTTTTTTATGTAGACTCAAATTGAAGTATTTGTCAATCGTCTTGATTCAGTTGAATCTGTATTGCCATATGAATATTCCTAGTGAGTTTAATTATATATATATATTTTCTTTTGTTATCAAAAAAAGTATACTTTAAAAAATTAGTTTTGATTTTTGTACTGTTATTGATGAACCATCACCAGTAGAAAATCTTGGTCAAGTTTTATTCGGTGAACGAATTCGTCCATCACCATATAAAGCTAGTTTTAATTTTTTTTTTTTTTTGGTATAAATTCAATATGGATGTATATATGATTTTTAGTTTAAATTTCTTAAAAATGTCGACTGTAAACTTGTATGTAAAAAGAAATATACATCAAGTGATGGTAAACAACAAAAATTTCTTAAACGTTTAATGAAAGGCATGGTTTTAAATTATCAACAACATTGGATTATTGATAATATGCCAGTAACATTATGTTATTTAAATTCAGAAAATAAAGAATTTTGTTCACGTGGTTTTCCTATTGGTTGTTATGTAACTAAAAGAGGTCAAACAAAAGAATCATGTAATATTCGAGATGGAAAAAATGATACATTCTATGTTTTTAATCATTTGGATTTTGAGATTAGTTATCATAGTGGACAAGGTATGATAATAAGAAAATTATTTTTTTTATATACAATATATATTAGTTGATATTTAAATAGGCGAAACATGGGGAACTACATTTGGAGAGGACGGTGGTCGAATTGTTGCAGCAAAAGTTCAAGTTAGCAGGTTTGTGTTGAATTGACCTATATTTTATAATGTAATGTCTTGTATTCATTCTAATACGATGATGAATGTATTTTAAATTACTTATTTATCTCAAATCGAACAGATATTGTTCATGTTTATAATAATTGACACAGAAAACTATCGTCATTATTTTGAAAATGATTAAAATAAAAAGATTCATTCTTCTAGTGTTGAATCGTTTTATGAAATATAATGAAGAAGCATAAATCTAAATTTTATTCTATTTTTCTAATAATTTCTTTTTTACTGTTATAGTTTAAAGTCGGAGACTTGTGAACGTAATTCTGAACCCATTATGTTTCAATCAACAGTAGCAGAAGTTGAAATTCCATTTACATATACTGTTTCATTTAAACGAAACAATGATATACGTTGGGCTAGTCGATGGGATTATATACTTAAATCATTACCTCAAACACATATTCAATGGTTTTCAATATTAAATTCTCTTGTTATTGTACTTTTTCTTTCTGGTATGGTTGCTATGATTCTTTTACGTACATTATATAAAGATATAGCTCGTTATAATCGAATTGTTGATAATATTAACGAAGTAAAAACAAAAAAAAAGAAAAATTTTCATATGATAAAAAAGATTTATTTGTTTTTATCAGGAGGATGCACAAGAAGAATTCGGATGGAAATTGTAAAATTTTGTTTATAATTATTAAAAATATTATTTATTTCATAAAAATAAATATTATTTGTTTTTTTTTAGAGTTCATGGTGATGTATTTCGATCACCAAATAAAGGAATGCTTTTATCTGTTCTTGTTGGTAATGGTGTGCAAATTACAATAATGTCATTGATTACTTTAAGTAAGATTTCTGGTTTTTTTTTTTTTACATTTAATTCTTAATTTGTTTTTATCTAATGTATTTAGTTTTTGCTTGCTTTGGATTTCTTTCACCATCGAGTCGTGGTGCTTTGATGACTTGTAAATCTTAGTTTTTGTTTTTGAAGATATGTTTTATTTATTTGATTTATTTAGGTGCTATTGTATGTTATGTTCTATTGGGTACACCAGCTGGTTATACTTCTGCTCGTTTCTATAAAAGTAATAAAAATGTTTTTTATTTTTAGGTACAATGATGTTTGTTATTTCTTTTCTTCTAGTGTTTGGTGGTGGAAATTGGAAGAAAAATGTTTTGATGACAGCAATTGCATGTCCTGGGTAATGATTTAATAATTTATTTTTAAAATTTAATTGATTTTGTTTTTTGTTTTTAAATATTTTAGTGTGATATTTGGTATCTTTTTTATTTTAAATATTGTTCTTTGGGCAAATGGTAGTTCAGCAGCTATTCCATTTACAACATTTGTAGCATTACTTGCTTTATGGTTTTGTGTATCAACACCACTTGTATTTCTTGGAGCTTATCTTGGTTTTAAACGTCATGTAAGATTAAAAAAGAATAGTAACATATTGAACTTGTAATTTATTTCATAAGTCAAAAATTTGGGGGTAGATTTCTATTGTGATCAAACCTTTTTTTTTTTGTGATGTAACTATTGTTAACGGAAGATTGATCTGATAGAATGAAAAGTTTCTATGACTATGACGAAAATAATACGTAGTTTTTCTTTCCTTCCTGTTCGAAGTTACAGAAGAACATATATTTTGCTGTCATCGCTAAACTTTATTCCGTAATTTCGTATAGAAAGGAAAGAAAAATTACACATTACGTTCGCCATAGTCGTGGGAACTTTCTTTTCGTTCTTTCATATTCAGCATCAGAGGTTCGATCCATCACTGATCATTACATATCATTTATGTACAATAGTAGAACAGAAGAAAGAGAAAAGGAAAATACCATATATAACTGAATCAACAGCTATGCATGTACAAGATTCAATCAATTAGACTTTTCAAACTGCCTGAGAATTTTGATAGTCACAGAAGAACCAAAAATTATCTTCTAGACTTTTTCAATTTCTTGTAATCAGGTAAACTGAGTTATGTGTTCATGATACTACTTTTCTCATTCATACGTTCATTTGTCATCAACAACATTTCGAAAATCTTAAAATAGATACTTTAAGCCAAGCTTATTACGATACTTTGGTTTGAGAAACTATCGAGCTTCGGAAGAATTGAGAAAAAACTTCTATATGGTTCTGCCAAGTGATACTATCATAGAAGATTATGTATAGTTCTGAAATACGATGAGATATATTTCAATTATCTTCAAAGAAGTATAAAATAAACCTTTTATTACCAAATGAGAGTTTTCCCATTTTTATGAAATAGATAGTTCAAATCTTCTGACTGTTTCAATAATTACTCATCTCATACTGGTACTTGTTTTTTGAAGTCCGATAAACTCTCGCATAATTTCACCCGATCATCATTCAGTTATGTGAGATGTCTCATTTTTTTTCACTTAAAGATTTGTGCATATGTCTATCATCTTAATAAAAATCTACATCATTTCATTTCTAGACTGCATATAATTCCATAACAGAATGTTATTAGAGTGTGCGGTTTTTCCATCTGCCAGTTTCCGAACAACTGTTTCTCATTAATGTCCATGCATACACACTTTTCGATTTACGAAAGAAACTCATTTGTTCGTTAATAGCAAACATGTAGAACAAACGAAATTAGATATACTAAAGAAGCTACAACTAAACAGTGAAAAGCAATGAATTACTCTATTCGATGATTTTACAGTGCTATTTTGCGCTCGTCCGAGGGGAGAGAGGTTAAATAAAATTTCAATTTTTATAATTTAGGCTCTACAAAATCCAGTTCGAACAAATCAAATTGCACGTCAAATACCAGAACAATCATTCTATACAAAACCATTGCCAGGTAGAAAGACAAACGATTTATACAATTGAACAAAAAGAAAAAAATTTTCTTTTTAGGTATTATAATGGGTGGTGTTCTCCCATTTGGTTGTATTTTTATTCAATTATTTTTTATTTTGAATAGTATATGGTAAATTTATTTTTTAATATTTAACTGAATTTAATAAAATTAATTTAGGGCACATCAATATTATTATTTTTTTGGATTTTTACTTGTTGTTTATATAATATTAATTTTAACATGTTCAGAAACAACAATTCTTCTGTGTTATTTTCATTTATGTGCTGAAGTATTTATTTTTATAAAATTTAAAATATTGGTAAATAATTAATTATATGTAATTTTTAGGATTATAATTGGTGGTGGCGTTCATTTTTAACATCAAGTTTTACAGCTGTTTATTTCTTTTTATATTCAATTTATTATTTTATATCAAAATTAGAAATATCAGATGGCACATCAACATTTCTCTATTTTGGTTATACATTAATGTTAACATTTATTTTATTTTTATTTACCGGTAAATGAAAAAAGAAAAAGACAAAAGAACATTTTTTATTTATTTTTATTTTTGTTTCTTTTTTTTTTAAGGCACAATTGGTTTTCTTGCTTGTTTCTGGTTTATTCGTAAAATCTATTCTGTTATTAAAGTAGATTAAAATAAATAAACAACATTTATTGTGATCGATACATGTGTCCAACAAAAACAAAAAAAAAAATCTCATTTTTTTTTCCCGTTTCGTATTTGTCTCTCGTAGTAAATAAATGTTTCGTACGGCAACGTGTTCTTTACTTTCTTTTTACTGATTTTTAACATTGATTCTTCCTTTTATTATTTTTTTTTTTTTGATTACATACATATCGAGTATGTCTGAATATTTAATGAACAAACTGATCATTATTAATTATTCGTATATATATATATATATATATATATATATACCTTTCACTTACTATTTATTGCGTTGTCCTTGTTCTTTTATTATTATGCTTTCACTTAGGTTTTTTTTTTCTCCTTAATTTTTATGACAAATAAAAAAATATCTAAAGGCAATAAAAATATGAAATATTTAGAATTCAAAAAGAATGAACAAATAGTACATCAAAAAAATGATATAAAATATACGATCGAAGACGAAAAACTATTCAAGCATATAATTAATTCATATCAATGGTTTTTTATCTTGAATAAAAACCTGGTTACTTTTTCTTCTATAAGGAAAGAAAAAAGAAATGTAATATTGACATTTTTTTTCTTCTCTCGGTACATATATATATATAACCATGGATATATCAATGTAATATTTGTAATATTTCTTTTTTTTAAGAATATATCCTAATTTTTAGATTACATGCATCATACTTTAACAACATTGACAAGCATCTGTGAAGATGCTATTAATTCAACAAATGTTGAACAATATGATTTAAAACCATTTAATCGACAATTAATAAATGAAGAATATTTAAATAAAATTTCCATAAATAATGATGAATGTATAGATAATTCATTATTATATTGTCCAACAACAAATTTTAAACAATTTTTTCGTTTATCACATTTACATGTTTCACATCCAGCACGAAGTTCACTTTGGTTTCATCTTCTTCGTCAAGATAAAACACGTCATCAACATAAATTTCAACAAGCTGTTGAACGTTATCCAGAAGATATACGGTATGTATTTATTAAAAGAAATGCGTACTCAGCCGTGAAATATGTATGACGAACGTACTCCGTGATATATTTTTAACAAGTTCTAATCGTACATTTTTTTCTTCCTTGTGCAATTATTTTTACCTGAAAGTAGGTCGTTTATAAGGAAGAAAACGAACATAATGATGAAAATCTCAAAATAGAAACAAATAGTGATGTGTGATATGTATGTTATTTAAATATTAAATGTAAAATATGATTAGTATTCACTTAAGTCCCTTCATCATCTACTAGAACAAAAGAAAAATTTTTTTCGATTATGAGATTTTTTGTTTCTCAAGATGTTCTGCAGTATCTGCTGTTAAGTCGTATAAAAATTAGAACTATACTCATCTTTATAAATTCTGAAAAAGCTTAATTCCGAAAACTTCCATCTTGAAAACAAAACCTATTTTTGATGATGACAGAGTTATATATCGTCTAGTTCTCGTGAGGGCACGTATGAAAGCTAGAGCATGCTAGATTAACTCCGGATCAGGATTGAAATCTGATTATGGGCCAAAAATGTTGGACTCGACGGACTATAGTGAAGGATTTTCTTCTATGAGAAAAGAAGAAAAATCATGACATGTATTTGTCAAATAAAGACTTTGTTTCACAGTAGAGAGGTGCGAATTTAATTCTATGAATATTTCTTTAACGTAACTCGTTGAATACGCATTCAATGCGCGACAATAGATAGCCTATTACGATTTGGAGTGAGTAAAACAAAAAAAAAATAAATATTAAAAAACTAAAATTTGACTTTATTTTGCGTTTTTTTTTTCCAAAATCAATATTTGAATGCGAAAAGAAAATTTTCATCCTCTTTTCTCTTTCACAGTACAACTAATCGCACTTTTATAGTTACTTTGATTGAGTCCGAGGGCGCATGTTTTTTTTTTCTTTAAAATGTCCTTCCTACAAAATTCGACAATCTTCAAAAAATGAGTATCAATGAAAATACACGTGTTTTTCATGGTATTCCTTCCGTACAGTATTTTGCTTTTCCTGAGTTCTAGAAACGATGCTTTTCAAAGAAAAAACAAAATGCACTCCAATTCAATTCTAGCCTCAAAAAATGATCAAGGATACTGAAGAAATGCTTTAAAGATACAAAATATTGATTTTTCTCTGTCAGACCATAATATATTTATTGATTAGAAAAAGAGAGAGAGAATTCATCTGTTTCAGAACTATAATTTTTCTTGTTACTTGACAAAATTAAATAATCCGAAAAAAAAAAGAAAAGAAAAACGTTTCAAACTTTCTTTGATTATCGACTCAACAGTAATGCAATGTTATGTATTTCCAAGAATAAAAAAATTTCTATAGTTTATTAAAAGCGATAATATCAATTCAAACTCTTTTAGACTTTTTGTTTTTTTGATAGAATATTATATACTCTATCAATTGTTAAAATATCATTGAAATCAAAAGAAACATTTGAAGAAAATCTCAAATTTTTTTTTCACATTTCATTTGATAATCAACAAGAATTTAAATGATTTTTTAAGAGAACAAAGGTTACCTATTTATATCATTATTTTTTATATGCACTGAATTAAATCTCGATTTAACTAATCTCTATAGCTAAGGAAAGAAGTTTATTTTCATATGATTAGAACAGGATGAAAATCATTGCTAGTGCAAACAAACGTACAATGTGGGTGATGTTGATGCCGGATTTAAAGCAATTCGATTAAAAATTAAATAGATCGATAATGACATCTTTAAATGATTTACAACTGTCACCTTTAGAAAGCAGACGCGATTCATAAATCGTCATGATCTGAAAAAGCAAAAACGGAATTATCATTTTTGAAAGACGAACTTGAATAAATAATCTATGAAATCAATTTTTCTTTTTTTATAGATGAATTATTATGAATATATTTTATTGAATGATTGTACAAGTTAATTATACTATTCTTCAATTTTTCAAAGAACAAAAAAGAAAATTAATATTCAAACGTTGTTTATTATTAAAGAGCTGCCATCCCTCTTTGTAATTTATCTATAAAAAAAGAAAAATGATTCTATGATATATGTATTCAAGAAATTTCTTTTGAACATGACTCTTTTTATGATTTTGATGAGTTATTAAACTCGCTTCAATTTTATATCCAACAGTATTCCCTTATTTTCTGCTTTCTACTATTGAATGCTACAGATTGCTAAGAGGTACTGTTTTTTTGATTTATTCAATTTTTAATCGAGTACCTTTAAATCTATTACTAACATGACTTATCTTCAATAAAATTTTTTCGATTCTTTTTGTTTTTTTTTTTTAGAAATATGTTCGGTCGTCGAAATGATATAACTGTTCGTCTTCCATCATGTGTCGATGCTAATCATTTACCTCATTATCATTTAAATCGACGTGGTCAACATGCTATAACTCGAATATTAAGTGTATTTGCTTATTATCATCCTGATATAACATGGGCACCATTACTTGCACCAATGACTGCTTTATTTTTACATTATATGACAGAAATTGATGCATATGAATCATTATTAATACTTACAAGTAGTGATTATAAAATAATAACTCAAACTGAAATTCAATATCAATCATTATCATTAGCATTTCGTACATTATTACGGCGACATTGTCGTTCAGTTTATGAATTTCTTAATAAACAACAACAATCACAACAATTATGTCTATTTGATGAATGGCTTTGGCTTATATTTGAACATTTACCATTTACATACCTTGTACCAATAATTGATTGTCTTTTAATTGAAGATATGAAAATTCTTATACGTATAAGTATGACATTATATCATTTTTTTGTTAAATATGGTTCAAATCCACAAATATTATCAATAAAACCTCGACGACGTGATTCAATATTTCGTTTATCAAAATCTTCTCGTACATCAACACGTTTGGAATGTCAAACATCATTATCATCATCATATAAAACAAATTCAAATATTTATGAAAATTTAATTTCTTATGTACAACATTTTGATTTACCAATGGAAAAATTTTTTAAACATGCTTTTGGTATTTCTCATTTACAACGAAAAGAAATTTTTCGAGCTATTGAGGTATGATTAGATATATTAATCAACAAGAAATAGAAAATTTTTATTTTTTTTTTTCGAGATTTCTAATTATTATGTTTGAATATCTTGACAAAAAAAATTTTTTGTTACGGTATAATAATCATTGAAACTTTTCAATCTACAGATTTAATATTTTTCGTAATGGTATTTTCAAGTGGTTAATCGCTTTTGAATTTGGACTCAGTGCATAAGATAGGCTCGAGTGAGATATGAAAAACTTCAAAAGGATAACTTCCTGTAGATCTTCTATCTAGATTCATAAATAATTTACTAGAATTTTAGCCTGTATTATGGTATATACTAACAAATCGACTGACAGTGTTTCAATTTGAGATTTTATCCACAAACAGGTCTATTTATCAGCACAATGTCCTGAAAATTTCAGTTCAAAAGAATATTTCCTTCCCGAGATATTAAAATCTCAAAGATCACTCATATTTGACAAAAAAAAACTAGAATTTTCTGTTTTTTGGAACTTTTATACCTCGAGAGTCGAAATACCGCCATTCGATTTTTTGGTATATGTCATGCCAGAAGCTAAAATTCTAGTAAAATGCCTTATAACTCTGGACAAAAAGTCTAAAAGAATTTATCCTGTGGAGTTTTTGTCTGAATTCAAATGTTCCATCGTGAAAAAAATTTTCTAATCCTTACTCTACCCTACTCTGCAATCTCTAGATCGAAGTTCTGGAATTTTTATTAGAAAAACAATATATTTGGAATGAGATAATTCAAAGTAATAAACACAAACTATATATTTTTGTCTTGTTAGTATGAATGTTCTCATTCAAGGATCTTCGATCTTCTTCACTTCTTGTATTGTAGTCTCGATTCTGCATATTAATTGCTTGACAATGTAGTGTATAAAGGTTTCATAAAAAAATTCATATGAAAAATGGAAAAGATAAAATATTTCTACTGTGTTTTGACCGAATGAGTTCATTGTTTTCCTAATAATAAAAGAGAATTCAAAGTTTGTTTTTTTTATAAGCAAAAAGTGCAAAATTTACATTTGAGTAGATGTAAAGGTGACTGAAGATCTGTATTTCATGCTTAAGTTTATTGACAAAGATCAAAAATTTTCACATCAAGCTCTATTGTCGTTCTCTATATGAAAAACTATATACATATCGATAATTAGTTAGCGATAAATACTCGAAATTTGATGAGGATTTTTCTTTTTATCAAATTTTTTTCTATTTTAATTAGACTGAAGAAGAAAAAATTAAATTAGAACGTCGTCGTGTAATACCACTTCTTCATCGTTCATCATCAGCAGGTGATCAAGTTACATTAAATCTTACATCAATTCCAAAATCTCTTATAAATCGTCCAATTCAACATCAAAATTCAATGCCAATAATAATGATTCGTGAATTTGATTCAACAACATCAAGTCATTCAGATTTTGCTTATCTTTGGTCATTAATTCCAAGTCGTCTTGCTGATTTTCAACCTGAACGTATTTATTCATCAAATATTCATGGTCGTCGTTTACAAACATTATATGATCATGTTGAATATCATGAATATTGTCTTATTATTATACGTAATGAACATCAACAAATTTTTGGAGGTTTTTGTTCTGAACAATTAGCTAATCGTACAAAAACACGAACATGGTTTGGTACAGGTGAATCATTTTTATTTACATTAAAACCAGAACGACAAGTATTTAAATGGGTTGGTTATCAACAATCAATAAAAGGTAGTAGTACAAAAGCATATGAAGATTATTTTATATATGGTAATGATGAACGTTTACAAATGGGTGGTAGTGAAGAACCACTTAATATTGGTTTATGTATACAACGTGATTTCAATGAAGGTAGTACAAGACGATGTGATACATTTGCAAATAAACCATTATCAAGTAGCGAAAATTTTCAAATTATGGAAATTGAAGTATTTGGATTTACACGATGAATTATTTTGTTTCGGATGTTTTATTTTAGACAATGTATGTTTCAAAAAATTATATATATATATATCGCCGAGTGACGATAATGTTATCTTATTGTATAAATGTGAGAGAGAGAGAGAGAAAAAAAGAGAAAAAACTTATCTCTTACATTGTATTATTGTGTGAATTTATCAGATCTTTTTCTTTTTTTTCTTTTTTTTTTGATTTCTTTTTTACAATGAAATACTTGAATCATTTTAGAAGATGATTCAGGTAAAATGTAAAACATTCATTCTTAAATATTTTTGTATATAAAGAAAATAGATAAAACAAATGTATTTAAAATCATGTTACGTTTGTGATTCTTAATTCTGAATACGAGTTTATTAGTAGACTCTATAGTTGTTTTAGAAGAATAATTGATCGCACCAGAGAAATGATTGGTCTTGTTGATTTCTGTATTTCCAACAGAATATTTTTTACTACCATTTTAGTATTTGTTTGCCTTGTGGCTTTTCATATTTGAATCATTGATTTAACTAGCAAATAAGTCTATTGTACATATCCATTATGTCTACAGTAAGTCTTAACAGAGTTTGGTGAACAACATTGAAAATGAGAATTGTTTGATTCGAGAGACATTTTATTTAAAAGTATAGAAAAAAAAAAGGAATACTATTAAAATTACAAACAGATGTTTATCTTTTTGTTTTGTTCTTGTTCTTCGATCAATAAAGTTAATCCTGTTAGTAACTGTTTCAAATTTATTTTATCGTTTTTAAATCTAATATTCAATATCATTAAATGTAACTTTGATAAAAGAATATTGTATAAAGAATAGTCTTTCTATAATAGATTAATGAAAAATAAAATTTGAAATTTAATACAATTTTTTGAATAAAACTGAAAGTCGATGAAATTCATTTTTCGAAAATTATTTACAATTGCATCTACATTTATTAAATGAAAACATTAACAGAACATGATGGAACTATTTTAATTGTATAAATAATCTAAATACAATAGCTTTGTTTTTTTTCACTTGTTAATAGTCACGTCGAATCAACTGATTGAAAAGCAAATAAAAAAGTGTGTATGATATCAAATTACAAATATTATATCTAAGCATGTTTAGTCAAATAGAGAGTCTGAAAGACGAAAAGAAAAGAAAAAAAAATGAACAGTTAATGTTCATGATATATTCATTTCATTCATCGAATAAAATATGTCTAAAGTTCATCAACTTCTCATTTTTCTTTGTTTTTTATCTACTTTAACAAATTCTACGAATATCTCTTCATGTATTTCTAATACACCTTGTAAATGTATTTTAACTGAACATTCATTTATACTTAATAATTGTTTACATTCATTACCAGATTTACCAATATTTAATCCTAATACTTCAATAAATATAACAACAATTATTGCACAATATGCTTTAAATCGTTGGCCATTACATTTATGTACATATTCAAATATTGAAATACTTGATTTAAGTGGTTCAAATTTTGATTCTCAATATATTGATTTATCATGTTTAACACAATTAATTCACTTAAATTTAAGTAATACATCTATGAAAAAAATTCCAAATTTTGATAAATATTCATTAAAATATTTACAAATACTTGATATATCAAATAATCAAATAGAAATTCTTGATGGTAGTTTTTTTCGTTTATTAAATAATTTAAGTATATTAATTATAGAAAATAATCCATTAAAAGAAATTAATTATTTTGAATATTTACTTAACTTATCATATCTTAAATTTATTAATTTAATATCATCAAGTTCAATTATGACTATAAAAAATTTATTAACTGTAACACAATGGATTGATCTTGCTCATAAATGGAATAATTCAAATAAAACATTTATTATTCGTACAAATACATTTTCATTACAATCAATTTTACCAAATCCAGAACAATTTCAATTAATTTCATTAGATTTAATGAAAATTATTTTAAAAACATTATCAAATTCAACATTTACCACATTATTTTCTACACCAAAATGTAATTGTATTTATATTCGAAATTATCAACAAATATTTTCTTTTAATAATTATCATAAAAATTTATCCTCATTATTTCAATCAACAACTTGTCTTATGCCAAATGGAATTATTCATGCACGTTTATTTGATCAACGAACATTTACTGATTTAAATTGTTCATTAATGGAAAAAAACATTCGTTATATTAGTGTTCAAAATTCATGTTCATTTTTAGATTATCATCTATTTATATTCAATTTTTTTATATTTTATTTGTTTTTATCTTATCAAAAATAGGGATTAAAATAATTATTAAACGGGCCATCATAACCATAGCTTTGTCCATATGGTTGAGGTGGAGGATATGGGGGCGGCGGAATAAATTGATTATTAAAAAAATTTGGACTATTATTCATAAATCGATCAAAACCTGGATAACCACCATGAGCATTAACTAAAAAAAAAAGATAATTGAGTGAATACCTGTTATTTTTTAAATACTTACTATTATTGTCTTCTCGAAAGTAATCAAAAGGTGAATGAGGAAAATTTTCACTACCGGGATATCCTAGTAATAATATTTATTTTTTAGAGTAAGATTATTTCAAATATTTACCTCTGAATGGTTCTTGATATCTGTCAACAATATTGTTTTGCCAATAGTTATTTCCTTATAATAAATTCAAATTATAGAATAAGAAAATAAGATAATAAACAAACCTCCATAATCTTGATATTGATTCCAAGGGTAATTAAAGCCACCTTGTCGATCATAATCAGAATTATTATCATCATCATCATAATCATTAAATTTATCATTTTCATCAAAAGTTTCAATAACATGATCATTGTCATCAAAACCATTATTAACATCATTACTTCTACCAGCAAGTACATAATTAGTCATATCATAAATATCCCAATGTGCTCGACCAAAGTCATCTGTAGCTAATTTATGAATAGTCCACACATCAAAACATAAACTAGGATTTGTTACATATTCATACGGCATAAAGCAATATCCATTATCACCCTAAAATATCTTAGGATTTTTTTTTGCTTCAAAATAAAATTTAATATAGTTCTTACCCAATGTGCTCCCCATGAATTTCGTACAATAAATGCTTTTGATTGATCACTATAACCAACAGCTAATAATGCATGACTATAAATAAAACAAAAAAAAAAAAAGTAAACTCTCTTCCTCAGATAACAATTCAATATAAACCTTGCATCGGTTTTTCGTCTACTTTCCCCGACTTTTGGTATTGGTACAACACCTGTTGTAGCTGCTTTATCAAATGAAGCGTATAATCTCAAACCAAATGCAAATGGAAAACCTTGTGCAAGACAAGATTTCATTTCGGACAAATTAACATTAATTCGAAATGCTTCTGTAATTTTATGATTTCTAGCTTCTCTATAAGCTTGATTAGTTGGTCGTGTATTCACTCGGGATATATCATATGGCCAAATTGATTCAAGACAAGTACCAAATTCTTCTAATGCTTCAATAGCACTTGTCATTGTACAACCTGAATCTATAACTTTTTCTGCTTTTTGATCTTTTACACGAGCATTATAATAAATAAATAAACGACTAATATCTGTATCACGACCATTAGCTTTTTTAGTTAAATATTCATAAGCTCCTAAAAATAAATATCATCAATACATATGACAAAATCATTCATTTTCTCACCAGCAAGACAATTAGCCGCACTAAATACGTAAAAAACAAATAAAATTATTATTTATATGTTAAAAATTTCTTTACCAACTGCCAGTTTTTGATTGATCTTCAACGGGTGTCATATAGGGTCGAAGATCAACTTTTGGTGGAAGTTGTTGAGCTCCATAGATTCTATGATCACAAAACTCTTGACATAATTCTCTTTTATGTGGCAAATGTGATGATGGTACAAGACCATTAAGACGAAATCTTTGTAAATTACGTTTATTAGTCAAAAAGGTTTTGAATGGCATTGTAGTCTGTTCTTTTAAATTAATCGATTTCAAATTAAAATTAGAAAGGAAACAAAAATTTCCGATATAAATATATGATTGAATTTCTATCGTTCGTTTGTTATTATTACTTACTTTAATGATAATATTTGTTTTCTTTTTCTAAATATTACAAGAAAGTTTTTCGAATTGAATAACACTCAATGTATGAATAATTTATCTTAGATTGACTAATTCATATGCAGAGGTATATATCAATAGTGGTTATTTTTTCTTTTCAATCGAAACAATATTAGTCATACTTTTGCGTCAGGTAACATTGAATATTTTTTGTACTTATTAGAAATCGATATTTAAAGGAAAAGTCCAATGATTCATAAAGAGTATGCTTGTTATCTACAAAATCTATGTGTCAAAAAATAAGTAAACATGTTTAATACAAAATTAAGTTTATTCATCGTGACCTTCTGCAATATCAAATGATTTTTTTTATAACAAACATAATAAAATTCGATATTTAGATGTTTTAGTCCTAGTTCGTCGACTAATTAGAAAAATTTCTCAGTTGGTCAATTAATTAAGACTTAATTAATTACTCACATAATGACTATTCACTTTTTTTAGAAAGTGATAGAACACTGTAGAAGTAAATCAGTACTAGTGTTTTATAGATGATGATTTAATCGACTAAGGACATATCAATCAGATGATTAGACGAAATCGATACATGATAACGACAAAAGAACCGAAAATAATAGATTTATGTCTTTATTTATTTATTCGAATTGGATATAGGTATTGATGTAGTTTGACGGCATTTATTAGTCATATGGCTGTGGTCTTTCACTTCACCCGCACCTATCTCAGTTCGAATAAACAAAGAAAGAAAGAAATCTCAATTATTTTTGGTTCTTTTTTCATCATCATTCATTGATTTCGTCTATTCGAAGTTATCTTGTATAACCATCTTACTGACGTATGCTTAGTCATTTGAATCATCACCAATAAAATATTAGTGATGATTCACTTCTACAATACTCTACCACTTTCTCAAAAAAAAATGCGTATTCATTACGTGATTAATAAATTGAACCTTAATTAGGCAACGAAGCAGGACGATACTATTGAGATAAATTGTTCAAACATAAAAAAGCGACTGAATTAAATTACAAAACTGATAATGAATATTGTCAGTAGAATTGTTTCAATAAATTTACTTTAATTCATACCATAGTCATTGTCTGTCAGATTTTTTCGATTTTAGTGTGATAGAATACTATTAATTCAACTATAATTTAACCTTTTTTATTATGAAAAATAATTGCATTTACTTGATCAATATTTAGACAATGATCAACGCCGAATTCCTGTCTCAAATGAAAAAGATTCTGATTCATGTTGAATACAAATCAAAACAAGATCTGTAATGATTGTTACTACTCTTTCGCGCTTCGTTTGCTAATTAAATATACATGGACTCACTTCACGTTTTCTACCAAACACTGGTAATAATTAATATTTAACCAATAGCGTCGTTCTCAATTGGAAGTGGTCTATTAATAAAAACCATATATATGTATATATATTAATTGAGTACATGATCAAAAAACATAATGATAATGATGCAATGTTTCTATGTTAAGTATATCCGTTCAAACGAAATATTTTGTCACTGTGTTAAATTGTCATTAATATATTTTGTATTACAAAAAATAAAGAAACTATATTGTCACAAACATATATAAGACAATAGCTCGTGGTTAAATTTGAAATTACTAATATTTTTATCTCTTTCTTTTCACGCATTGATTCACTAGTTCGTGGGTGACATTTATCATTCATATTTGTTTTTCTTCATCTTATCAACCAATTATATAGATATATATCGATATTAATATATTTTATTTATTTTTCAATATATACCAAGATGATTGTTTGAAAATATTCAAAATTCAAACTAAGTTAACCAATTTTCTTCCATATACATGCCTTAACTATTGAAATTAGTAAACAAAATTGCTGCAAACGATGGAATTATGAATAAATTAAAAAGCTTTTCCAATAATTAAACAAGGAGGTCAATGATCCCTGAAAAAATTTACTAGAATAAAATAAATCAAAAGTTAAATTTTCATTTACATTAACATAGCTGTGCTTTTCATCAAAACTCGCGCTAAGTTTTTATGAAAAAATCATGATGAATATTACTCATACTTTACTTGAGACTTTTCTAGAATGTAAGAAAGATTTTGAGTAGAAAAAAGATAATTTTCCGTGAACTATTAAAAAAAAGTATCACTGACTATAAGACAATTTGCTACGAAATAGTTACAAGTTTTCGAAGTTTGATTCGATTTATATCATTATACATCCTTATTCTTGAATATTTATTAGTCGTTCTATACGTATCCAATTGAAAATTGTTTGCCAAGGAATCTTCATCCGTTTGCAACCTTTTATTGATTCATGCATACTTTTGTGATCTGTCAATCTAGACGCATTATCGAAAGGAAAAAAAACATCTGTTGTACAAGCAATAGAAAGAATAGGACATCTATAATACTAGTGTTCAATTTATGACGAGATTGCTTTATTAGTTGTACTCATGTAACAATAACGTTTTTCATCTGTAGAAGGTTTGCTTTAACATTTTGACAACTTCGCTCCTCTTTCTCTGGTGAAGCATAAACAACCAAAACCAACAATCTTGTCACGCATGTTTGTTGTTGATTGTAGTTGGAGTGTGGTATGTAGATGTGGATGTGGATGTCAATGTAGAGAGAGAGAGGAGTGCAAGAATACCCACATAAACACTCAAATCCACACTATATCCACATTCACACCCATACCCTACAATCAGCTTTAATTTTCTGCTCAATGCGATCTGAAATAGCTGATTCATTTTTCGAAGATGTATAAAATTGATTGACACTTGTTTGAGCATTGAAAACTATCGTTTGTTTTTTTTTATTTTGACAACCACGAATATGTTTAGATAGTGAATTAGTAGTCGAAGATGATTTATAAATAAATCTTCACATTAATTGCATCGAACATATTCTTGCTTGACCTCGTTCCCATAAATGCAACTAAGACTAGTCTATACAGCTAAAGATTTTGATTTTGTTTATCAATTAACTGTTCAATTTCCTTTGCCGCTAACATAATGCTCTTTTCAACTAAGCGAAAACTTTTAATTTAGTAAGCGTCGAGTGACAGGAAAGTCAAAAACAAGAAATAACTGTACCTTGACTTTTTCTAAGAGTAGTCAATAAATAGCTAAAATCTTGATCCTTCACTTGTCCATTTGCACAAAGGGTGTCAGGTATTGGTGGAAAAAAAACTCGCATGTGAACCAGGACCCAGCCAGATCCACAAAAATATGGACCTGCAGCTCTCTATATAAGATTGATCAATTTAATGAAATCTGTTGAATTTCCTACTATCTATAATTCCAATAATAACACTTTACTTTCAAGAAAAACAGTGATTATATGTTGTATTTGATCAATTTTCTATTACCCTGGATATATTGTGGGCAATAAATATAGAAATATATTACATTACATGCAAGAGCTTTTGAAGAGAAATGTATTTATTCGTATAAACATAATTGTAACAGAGAGATATTCACTGTATCTCGACTCGAATAAGTTGCATATCAATAAAAGAACATGTTTTATAGAACAATTTTGTTTATTGTTGATCGGATTATTATGACATGAATTCGATACGCGATCAACAAATATTCTAATAAGCAAATGCATCGAGAAAATTTTCAAACTTTTATACATCTTCATATGTTCCAGACTCAAGTTTATAAATATTTCAGCGTCTACTTTATATACACAAATTTTTCATACATCTTGCATCTTAAGAAGACTTCATTATAATTCATTTTCATCTTTTCAAGCATTTTTTGCCACAAAAAGTATATGTTTTACTGCAACTCTATTAGAAATTTTTCCAACTAATCAATATGCCATTCAATTTTTTTGTTTTTTCTTATCATTTTTGTTTATTTTAAAAGATGAAACACAATTGATATATGAATCATATTAGAATGAGTTTATACTAAAGAAAAAGTTTCATTATACCTGTACTTGAATTAAATTATTTTGGATGGAAGTTGCATTACTAAAAGTCGAATATTCGCTTATACTTTGTTGTCGACGATGACGTGTTGCTAGTTTATATTGAACTGTTGATGTAATATGATCATTCTTTGTTAAATCGTAAAATAAATCAGGAGTTGATAATGAATCAATACTGAGTATTTGTTGACGAAGACCATATTTGAGAAGAAGGAGACGAATCAAAACAACACGAATAATTGAACCAATGATCCATATCAATAATGCACAGATGAAAAGGCATGTAAGAGTAATACCAACAATAGCACTTATAGGAATTGAATTTGTCAAACGAACAGTTCTGGTTGACGTCGTTGTTGCGGATATTGTTTTTGTTGCTGTTTTTGTTGAGGTGGTTATTGATGTAGTTGTAGTTGATGTGCCGAGGGTTCGATGTGTTGGTATCTTGAAGCAGAAAAATAATTTTATATTAGAAATAAATTATATTTTCTCTTTCTATCATATCAAAGCACTAATAATATTTTCAAAACATGAATTAACACTTCAAGTAAATTTTACAAAAAATCAAGAATGTATCAATTTCTACTCATTCTAAATCTTTCTTTCTATTAAATGAGAGTTAGTAAATAAACATCTTTATATCTTTCACAAAAATATTCATTACTGAGTCAATGATGCTTTCTCATATAAAAATTCACTTTTACAGACATCAATCTTATTAATGCTATATGTGACTTATATTAAGTTACATCTGAATTCATCCAATTAATAAAAGTCAATAAATTGTGCTTGACAATCTAATTTTCTACTCAAACAAAATATTTTTTAAATGGATGATAACAAGTATAACATAAAACTCTATTTACTGTTCGTGCTGTCGTTGTTGTTGATATAGATGTTGTTATTGTTGAACCTAGAAATAATAGCCATTTACATTTATATTGCTACAACACAATTGATCTAATTACTTGTGCTTGTTGTTGTCGTCTCATATGGTATATCAAATGGCCAAAAGTTTGGATCACTAATTGGCATCGCTTCTTTCGAACATGTATTGGCTTCTGCCAATACACCAGCATCAAAATAAATATAAAAATGGGTACCTGGAGTCCATACAACTGTTGAATTTATCACTATACGATCATTTAAATAAAAAACATTGGCAGTTGCAGTCATAGCATTTAATGCATAAAAATCGACACTATCTGATGTTCGTTTGAATCGAATATATGTTTCAGTTGTTGGACGTTGATAAACTCTTGTTCCAGTTAAAATAGTCCATATTGATGTTGTTTTCGAGACTGTTCCCATTGGATATCGAGTAGCATTCAATCTATATAATGGTTGAAGACTAGATGTTTGTGATGATACAGCAAAACGAAGACAAGCTGAATCTCCTTGATTTCCAATAGAATCAACAGCAGAGAAACAAAAGAGATTTTGTCCTACTTGCTGAGCATTTGATGTAAAATTAGCAAGAAAAGCAAAGATCTTACGATCAAATGGATCTTGTTGAATAGATGTTGTTAATAAACCAGTTGGATTAACACTAATTATACTTTGAACAGTGGCATTAGTACATTGAACTTCAAAACGAACACGAGTAGTATAAGTGGCACCTACTGACAGATAGATACAAATGTCTGGTACGAGATCGCCTATATAGATTGGTCCAGTAACACAAGGATATGAAGAATCGTAAACATGAAATACGAATTGAATAGGTACTTGTGAAAGATAACTAGTTGATGATATATTGATTGGTAGTATCACGAAGTCCTCTATTGTCAAAGCAGCTGCATAATATCCAGTAGTATTTGGTGTAAAGTTTAAATAACATCCATAATTATCAATAATACCACCAGGTACACTATTACTAAGTCCACCACATTGTATAGAACCTTTACACCAAAGACAAATATATGGATCAAAATCATTATCAGCGACGTTAATTTTGATAGAATAGCTGATTTTATTTCTTAATCGATAGATTGGTAACATAGTAATAATAGGTGCATTGTTATACCATCCAGTATCGACTCTTTTATAGGTTTGAATTTGAACAGCAACACTCCATGCCAAATTGACTCCTGTAACAAGATTAAACCAAGCCGAGTTATTAAACGTGGCTACAAAACTGGAATTTCGTCGAATATTTAAAGTAAAACGTCCTTCACCCATTGCATATTGTTCACCAATGTTATAACCAGTGCAAGGAACTAGAACGCTTCCAAGTGTTGTTAAGCCTGTTGGACAATTACTCACACAAATAATATTATAACTACTAGCGCCTAAAGTAGGCTGTCCATTTGCAATAGTTGTTCCAGTACAAAGTGGAGTATAAGCGTCATATCGCCAAGCATGACGTTGAAGAATTTCAACAAGAACAGTTGAAGATGATTCATTGATTATACGCCAAGATATCATAGAACCACGAAAATGAGTGGCTTGTATAATATTAAACATATAAAGCACAACAAAGAACATTGTATAGGTATGTTTATGATACATACCTCTTGTAAAATATGAATAATAAAAAATGTACGCTGAGCACTATATAACCACGATAGGCTGTATGCAGCTATTTCGACTGAAAAAGAAAATGGTATTTTATTTGACAGGAGCAAATAAAAAAAACTGCAAACAAATATGTAGGATTTCGACATGAATTTCTATTGTTCTTGTAAGAGAAAAATATATTACATTCAATTTCGCTCTTTCTCTTATATATACATATATTTGTCTACGTATTTTTTTCATAATATTTAAAAATTATGCTGATGAATAAATGAGCTATAGTGCAGAACAAAATTCATTCATTCTGTACTATTGTATGGCTATGTTTTACTTGATAATGTTTGTTTAAGGTAAAACCATTGGCTTCGATCTATATGCAAATGTTAACAACTGAAGTAAACAACATTGATATTCTACACTCAAAATACAGTTTATACCAAACAATGTCTAAGAAACGTGCTATGGATGTTTCGTAGGTTCGGAAAAAATCTAATATGTAATATGCTAGATTCCTTCAATGTTTTTAATATCTCAATATTTTGATTACTAAGTCTTTGAATAAAAAAATAATTGCGGTGAAGTTTTGAGTAGTATTCTTCTAATCAATTTTTCTGGCTAAAAATCCAATGCATTCATTAATATTCAAGAGAAAAAAATTTGAATATATTCATATATACATTAATTCTCTCGTTTGAATTTGACTTCAGTCACAAACATCGACTGACGAAACATAATTCATCCTTGTGTAATTTAGCTTTATGATTAACCATTTATAATCTCGAGATGCCGATTGTTTCTGTGATTTATTTACAAAATAAGTAAATAAATTTTCTTATTATTTTTCATCGAAAAAACTCCAATTGATTATAAGAAAATAATAAAATAAATTCGATACAATGTAGCTGTGACTAGGCAGGCACTAAGTGGCTAGGGACTTTTTTATCTAAATGAAAAAGAAATTTCATAAGTATCGAACTTAACGGTGTCTCATAAGTTTTCAGCCACAACGAAAATTAATTTATATGTAAGCCAAGAGTGATCTCTACCAAACTAATGTCCGTTTCAAAATATAGTGCTCTCCATTGGTTTTGAATAAATCAAGAAGGCAATGAGCTAGAGGCCTGCGGTTTTCACCAATCGATAGAAGACTTGAGGGGACACAAGTCTATGACAAGCTAAGAACCAGCCTTGTTTTGAGAGTACTGTAGTTTCTAAATCTATCAAAGATTCAACTATAAAAGTATGACACCTCAACA